CGTTTTTAATACTCATTTTTATTGTTGTTACGTTGTTACGTTTTTCCTTATTTATTTATGGTTTCTATTTAAGCCAGTCGGCCTAAACCATGATGCTGTTAATATCCAACGCCACCCCTATAAGAATTAGTTATACAATTAAAAGCCCGATGATTATTTATTCTAATTATCTATTCTTATTTGTTAATTATATTTCAAAGTGACCACATTTTAATTATGACATAAATCCTCTTTTTGAAAAGTTGTTGCGTTTTCACTTGAAGCTATACGGCTAACTTAATCACTAAAGACATTGACTCAAAATGAAACCATTTTATTTTGTTTCGTTCGATTATACAACATAAATCTAAGCATAGTGTCCATCGTATCACAATATTGTTCACATAAATCCTTCTGGGCTGAACAGATGTTTATTGTTGCTCGTTGTGCTGCTGAAGCAGTTCTTGAGAACAATAAAAGTGACAGAGGCCTCTCATCTCGCATGAAAGAGAAGTGATATCCAATTGATGGATCTCGATATTCTTAGAGGACAATAAAAGCTCTGCAAGGTCTATAAGCATGTATTTAGGAATTGAGCAATACAATAGCTATCACCGTATACTTAATCCTATTTGAATGAAAAAATAAAAAGATTTAACACTACTTAACATTGGAATCACACATTGAGCTCAAAATTACTTTAATGACATTAAATGCAAATAAAAAACATACAACAATTTTTGAAATACTTGTTAAATTTTGTTGTTGTTATTTTTAAATTTACACAAACCATTTGTTATTGACAATGTTTTTGTTGAGTTATTTATTTATAGTTACATATCTATAAATCTTTATTTCCTTGACTCGTAAAATGATTCAATCACTCTAAATAATTCCAAGCCCCTGGATAAATTTAAACTAAATTGTACAATCATGTTTTAAAATGTTGTATAATCTTTAATAACTAAAACCAGTTGTTGGGTGTAACCATTATAAATAGCTAAAATGTTATTTATTATTCAATAAATTTCCTATATCTTAACTTATTTTCATTTCTCTAGGACTCCAATCGTGGAATGAGATGTTTGTTGCCATATGAAACTTTAATTAATGTATCAATAGATCCATAACTTTAAATTAAATGAGTTCCTTTAAAATTCTTAAAACAAGAGTTACACGTAAACATTGGAATGATTATAATTAAATTTAGTAGTCCTAATGCTGTTGTGTATAATGGTAAAAATTAATAACGCACTAATAAATAATTAATAGTAATAATTAAGTAATAGTGGTAATAACGGGAAAATTGAAATATTGAATTCAATATAGTATAAATCCAATTTCAAAGAGATAAAAACCAGATTTAAAACAATAAATGAGAACTGTTGCCGGATGGTGCAGTCTTACTACTCGGCCGACTTTGAAGACTAAGTCTTTGTTACTCATATTAACAAAGGAGTGTTGTATTAATTAGCCAACAGATAAACTTTAGACAACTCTACTTCATCAAACGTCAAGTAGTAAATATTGTATACAGGAATCGTTTACGAATTACGTTTAGGAATTGTATACAAGCCAATTGTGTCAATCATGTTATTCAATATATAGCGAATTTTGTTGGTGATTGGTAGAAACAGGGTCAAGTCAGTTATTTTTTGTGTTGCATAAAAATCATGCTGAACTAAACTAACTTGAATGAAATATTACTGAGCAGTAATAATCAAGATATACTCAGTTTTTTTTCAAAAGCGTTAAAATACATAAAGGAATACGTTATGCTAATTAGTTTTTTATTATTCTGAGCATAAATTTATACTGTCAAAAATATTCAAAAAATAATTTACCATGCTACATGAAAATACTGAAATGGAGTATTGATTTTTTTTGTTAAAAAACAATGAGACCCAAGTTGGAAATGTTGAATGACAGTTGAGGTAGAAAATCACACCAATTGTCTACCGAGGTTTGAATGGAAGCCAAACACGCAACAGAGAAATAAACATCTCGATCTTGCCTCAAGGCGGTTGAGTTTATAGAGAAACAACTTCAACATATGGTATGTGTTGTGTTATGTTGTGTCACATTGCAGATTAATGTATTATTTATTGATGATGTATTATGAACTGTAATGTATAATATTAGCAATACCTATCTATGTTTTGTGTATGCTGAACCACCTGTGCAGTAAACCTTTTAATATATGTAGTGGGAAGGCTTAAATATTAAAAACCAAATGATATAAACCAACTTTCATGTTCCCCCCTAACACAAAACATTATCCCATTATCGAATTGGAATGGTTAGTAATTCATTTCAAATGTAGGTAGGTTCCCACGTTTGATCCAAGTTTCATCAAAATCTGAAATATAGTAGAAAGTTTATTGTGCTGCACAACTTAATCAGGATGATAATTTAAGGATTTATGTTTTACATAACTTGGCTAGTGGGCACTACTCATTAATAAAGTGAAAGTATATGGAAAATAATAAAAAAGATGAAATACCTGTTGTACTGTCGGGGATCCGTATTTAGCCAGGGACTATAGTTTCGAGCATTAAAGGTTAATTTTCAAGCTTACAACCAAGTCAAAACATGAACAATCTTTTGACAGCAACGTTACGCGACCGCCCCCATTATTATAATTTGGCCAATAATGTTAATGTTTTCGTGTTCGTAAAGGTGTCATTTTAACGACTCGTTACAACCACCTTTAAGGCTCGAAACCTTAGTCGCAGACTAAATACGGATCACTGACTGTACAACAGGTATTTAACCTTTTTATTATTTGTGAAAAACGTGATCCAAAGGTTAAACATTTTTAAAGTATTTTCGTCTTACGCACTTCTATGACATTACTTGAATCAGCAATAAACGATGCGACAGATCTTTTGTATTGTAATTTTATTTTAAAACAGTTGCCTAAATTATTGAACCCTTGATGTCCTGATTAATTGATTTGAAAATTCTTGTACATATTAGAGCAGCACTTATTAATTGTACCAACCAAATACGAAATTCTTGTGCTTTACCAACATCTCAATCTTTGTATTCACTTTACTGCCGTAGTGCTGTACTTTTTCTACCTCATTTTTATCCAACAGTTACTGAAGAAGTATGTTATTGTTACTTTATCTGTCCAAGCAAATACATTGCCAAACTTGGAAGCAGGCCAAAATTAAAAGTGCCATGTCGTAAACTGTGTTGTGTTTGTCTCAAACTCGATAAACTTAGCTTGTGTTGGAGTCTCGTAAAACTTGTTGTCGAGATTGAACAAGCGCTTGAGTTGGACTAACCATGGACATGATCAAACAAGGCTATAGTCTTGAATATTAATATTTAACAAACTTTATGAGGTATACTACCACACAAACTAACACTAAGAGTACAATAGTTTCTATGGTTGTGCTGATCACAAACAAATCTAGGATTACGTTTGTTTAATAGTATGCCTTTACACTAATTTTGTTAACCTTCACAAAAAAAGGAAAATAAAGATTTCAAAGTATAACTGGGTCAAGGATGGTAATTTACCGGGTTTTACTAAGAACTAAGCTAATCTTATCACATACCTCTATATGCCATTTCATATTTCAAGAAGACAATTTCCAAAATTTAAATTAGGGAATCCATTTTTGTCATCATTAACCACTAGACCAAAGCTAGCTTAGTGCGCCAGTCCCTATTTATCCACAAATAGTTAAGCAGTATATACCTTCAGCCGAGTTAAACCTCTGGAATGATTTAAATTATTTATTGAATTAACATCAACAAAAGCATACAAAGTGACTGTTTCTACACAAAAGATTTGGTGTACAGGCGTATCTATCCTGACACATAGATATTGGACTCTGAGTTTGATTAAATATCAAAATAATTTGTTTTACATCTAAACTTCTTAAAGACTTATGTTCCTACAGGCCACTAATTTTCTTTATAAGTTACTGTTTTACAAATTTAGATAAGCTAAAGATATTAAACTCTCCTTTGTTCTCAAACTCGATAAAACACTCATTACCTCATAAACTCCGTTACTAGAGTTTAAGGAAGCGTTTTGGGGCCAAAGTTCGACAATATTCGAAAAATGAGCTTTTGTTTATTTCAGCTTAACATAACCAATCAATAATTTTATTAATACTTATGAAGTCAAACTGGGTTAAACCCGTGGGTAACAGCTAGTTATAACCATTTATATTTTATGTGTAATTTCATGAGTACCAATCCTTAATGGGAAAAATTCAATAACTTTACACTTAAAAAATTTTACTTTCAATAACCACACACATACTTCTGTATTAAAATTTTGTTTTAAGAATTACCTATTAGTAATGTTTATATTAATTTTAATTAATTATTTTTTACCTAAACTCTGGGGGAAAATAATTTTTTTGCAAAACCATATACGGTTTTATTTAGCAACGGGGATGTTTACTTACACGCATCCTGTAATTTAAACTACATTCTTGAATTGTGGATTAAAGCTCTCTATGAAATTTTTGAGATCCCAATAAGATTTTAATTTAAGTTTTACGGCTTTATTGAACGATTGTTTTGGTTTATACGTTTAATCCATATTAAGAGTGTTTAAAACGCTACTAAGGGAGTAAGCGGAGATTTGCGTAAATAACCGTGGTTGTGTCCAGTTTTGTTTATGATACTGGTTTATTCACTCTGAGCCCTTAATACTCTAAGTTCTGAAACCCCTTGAGGACTGAATTCAATTTACATATACCCTTTAATATGAAGGGATCTACGTATTTAATTGAATTAAGCATATAACAAAGTGCACTGAATATAACTTAGGAATGGGTGTCAGCGCTTATTAAACAGTGTGAAAGCAGTTATTCCATACAATATGATATGAAATGTTTTGGAATAGCTTTATTTCATTCATAAAAAAGTATAGTAACCGTTTTTTTTACCACATTTTGATTATGGACAAACAGAGAAGACATTCTGAAATAGTACGATTTAAGTTGAAGTTCACCAGTAAACTATAGAAAAAAAACTACAAAATGCAGATTTTTAAATTTATATATTTTAATGATGAAATCCACAGTTGTGAAAAATTTAAGTTATCAATATCTAAGAGATATTGCAGCTATTTGTCACCAAGACTAGTAATCAAACTTTCATGACTTTTTGGGATCTGATACTTTTTACTAGACATGATGAAAGATTTCCTATGTAATATTCTAAGCTCGCTAAGCCTTTGTACGTAAAAACTTATTTAGACAGTTGCATTTTTGACAAATTAAATTCATTAAAATTCATTATAGTAGCTCCGGAACTGTAATATTGACTAACTGGTTTCACATTTCCTGTCGAACCGAAGTAATCCCGATCGTGTAACAGCAACGATGCGTACCCGTGACAGGTCTATCAAACTAAAAGTATTAATTTATACCTCGTATGTTAAATGTATGTATCGTGTGTGTGAACAACAACGAAGCTTTACAAGCGGATTTAATGTTTGTTTCTGAACTGTGTGCTTGAAAATGCCAGCTTGCCGAAACATGTACTTTGACGTACATACTTTGACGTAAGTTTCAATTTAGAAATAACAGGTATTGCGAAACCAATTATCTATATATAAAGCCAAAAGTACCCATGAACTTTTGAGAAAACTACAAGTCACACCCCCATAAACCATATACTTAAAATGTTCTTCATGACGAGAAACCTTGCGCAAAACTATCCATTATTTCATAAATTGCCCTTTAAGTTCGTAAGTTCTTTCTAAAGGGAACTTTCCACCTAATGTTAAAAATACCTCAGCTGTACTTATTTGTTTGTATTACTGTATCCTGTTTTGTTTATTTCAGCTTAACTTTAACCAATCAATAATTTTATTAATACAGTACTTATGAGGTCAAACGGGGTGAATCCCGTGGGTGACAGCTAGTTAAAATTAAATTCTAATAACATAATGAAACTCTTTAGTGAATGTAAAGTAAGTAAAATTTACACCTTTTGAGGAATTTTACACCATATTTTCATAATAATGTGGTTGGTCGTAGCACTTGACGTATGATTTAAGATGCAAAAAATATTTTATTTTACAGGATATTTTTTATCACAATATTAGAAATCACAATTTCTTAAATATTTTTTATCACACCCAAAATGCATCATGACCGATTAAATAAAAAATTCAAAGGATACTAATATTTGTTTATGACAGAATCGGATTTTTTTCAAATAGTAGCACATTATTTTCAATCCCTAACTTTTTATTCGAATGCGTTTTCATCCGAACAAAAGATATTTGAATAAGATCATTTACCCAGTAAAGACACGAACCCGGCTCAATGCAGCACTTTGAAAGTTATCATCTGTTTCGAGCGTATATTAAAAAGATTAATGATTATTTACACATACTTTAAGTAGTTTCAAGTTCATCTCTACAATTTGGCCACACTATGTAGGTTATTGTAGAAGGGATTGGGTGGTTGTATACACAGCTGTTGTGTTACACATCTATTGGGTAGTTTGTTGGGCAGAATGTAGTAGTCAACTTCAGGTAGTCCTCTCTCGCTGATGATCTCTTTGACTTTTCGCAGGCAAGACAATCCGATGGGTTGACATTTGGGGGAGAACCCAGCAATATAATCAGGCTCTTCCGCTAAAACAAATTTAAAGTGTGTTGATTTATAGTTTATTTAGTTTTTATTATTTTTCGTGAATTATTTATTGTCCCTTTGCCATAATTAAACAGAACTTAAAGTTTTATTTTATAAAATACTCATCACAATCCAGTATTATGTAATAACACAATCAAAGCGTAGGTATAGTTTAATTTATTTTGTCTAATTTATCAAATTTTCTTTAAAATGGCCAAAACGATAATGATTACTATTCAGAATAGTTCTTTTAACTTTTTACAAAACGGTAAACTCCTTATCACTGTAAAAGTTATGGTTTGAAACTCATTGTAAATTATGTGACTGTTCACAAAACCCCATCTAATAAGGGAAAATTGAATTTCTGTAAAGACAGCTTGACCGATTTTGATGAAAATTTATGATGATATGGTTCTTATACTTCTAAATAAAATGGAAACTCCAATGTTTTAAACATTATGGTTCGAAAGTTATTGTAACATATTTTTGTTTTTCCCATAAATCATCAAATTTACTTCCACCACCCATGATAAAGGTTGTTGACAAGCAAATAGGATAATGCATGTGTCTGATTGCTGGTACTGTTTATAATTCTTTGAAAAAAAAGGATTGTTACAATCTCCCCAAAAATGTATACGTGTGTGAAGCTATGCATGTAGGGCCTATAACGTTTAGCCTAATTAAGCCATAATAAGTAGCTTGTTTTTGTTTAGTTTATTATTTATTAATAATACTGTTTATTTTATTACCAAACCATGAATAAATATATAAATCACATGGTCAATTGAATTAGAGCACAAGTATAAGTATATAAGTGTCAGCATACTAAACTAAACAATTAACACATATTACTAGCTATTTTAGATACATAAACAATTTATTTACCTCCAAACACAAAGCATCGATACACCAGGTAAGTATCGCAGCCAGCGTATCCAATGATGTAGTCACGTACCGTGCCGTACGGATCTGCAAGGAAAGAAAAATGTCATTAGTGAACATATTTTTAACCTTTTTATTTTTAATTTTTAACAGTTTTTAGGAATAAATAAACGGTATCAGCATTCTGACACATACTTTCTCCCATAAGTTTGTCAACAACCTTTATCATGTGTAAGCGGTGAGAGTAAATATACGGAAATGAGATTTGTAAGATTATCTTCAGAATTTAAAGGACTATAACATACTAAATTTTTATCAAAATCGTTCGAGCCAATATTGGGAAAATATGATTTTCCGTTATTTTATGGGGTTTTTATGGGGAAATAACATAATTTACAATAACTTTTGAACCGTAATTTTTACAGAGATGGGATTTTTACCATTTTGTTCAGAATATAAAGGACTATAACATACTAAATTTTTATCGAGATCGTTCAGGCCATTTTTGGGAAAATCTTTTTTTCTCCGTCATTTTATGGGGTTTTATGGGAAAATACCCATTAAAAATAAAAATTTCTAAGAAATGAGAAAAACTATCAAAATTGTAAGGATCATAACATACTATGTTAAATAAAAACGGATTTTTTTGTCTAAAATCCTATTTTTCGTTATTTTATGGGATTTTTATTGGAAGATAACATAATTTACCATAACTTTTGAACCGTAATTTTTACAGTAATGGGATTTGTACCAATTTGTTCATAATTTAAAGGGCTACAACATACTAAATTTTTATCAAAATCGTTCGGGCCATTTTTAAGAAAATCCGATTTTTCCGGTTTTTTATGGGTTTTTATGGGGAAATCCCCATTAAAAATCAAAATTTCAAAAAAATGAAAAAAACGCCTGGAGATACCATGGATTAGAACCTACATACCAAATTTCATCGAAATCGGACCACAGGTGTAGTCTCTAGCTCTGTACACATCCAGACACACAGACACACAGACACACAGACACACACACACACACACACACAGACATCACTTCGAAAACCACTTTTTTGGGTCCAGGGGGACCCAAAACGAATATATCCACTCAAAACTCAAACTCGAAAATTTTGACGAAAACAATACTTTCTCCATATACTATTATATGGTATAGGGGGAGAAAGTAAAAAGACACAGATAAACGAATTGTTGAATTGTACGAGACATATTTGCATAGAATAATTCGAACAAATTGTGAAAGGAAATTTGAAAAAGGTCTAATTAAAATATGTTAACAGCGTCTTAACTTATAACTTACTTGCAATTATAGACTGCCCAATGCCGATCTCGGTAGCAACGTTAGTAGTTACTGTGAACGATCCGTCACAACTATCATAAAAAAGGAAAACATTAATTTTGTTCGTAGTATTTTTCTTCACAATATTTACATGTTTGAATAGAGAGGTCACACAGTATACATTATTCTTGATTAATCTACAAATATATTTTAACTAGGCAAAATTGTTTTTCTTCCACCACAGCAAAACTGCTGACCAAGGCAATTTTCATTTTGACAAATTTACTTACTTATACGGAAGATGCTAACAGAAAGACCTTGACCTGAAACTGGTTTATTTTTTCATTGTGATGTCCCCAGACACCAAAAACAGTATTGGTTCAAAATTCTATATATGTGCATATAGAATATATATGTGCTATATATATATGTGCGTGTCCATAAGCAGCCTAACTCGAGTATTTTAATTTTAGACGTAAAGATATATTTTGTTTGACATGACTAATGCAAATCTGCATTTGTTACTTCGGTTGAATAAACGAGCCAAAGAGTTAGAGCAATTTTAGTCCTATTTAGTTTAATTTGTCTGTTTCTTCCCCATAGAGAAAATTCGTTACAAGTTGCGTCGGTAAGTACCTAAACATTTAGTTGAATTACTTCACTTTTCTAGATCATAAATATATATGTAAAGGAAGAATAAAGTCATTTTTGGATGTGTATAAATAGTTCATGTCACTTTATATGATGTTGGCCAGTCACTAATTAAAGTAGCGTAAAGGAATAAAATAATTTTAAAATATTTGAATGATTGTCTTTAGTAAAAACACTATTTCTTGAAAACTACGTACCGTAATAAAAATAACAAAATAAGTTCTTCTCCGTTAGTCTTTGATAAACATAAAATGTTACTTAAATTTTTTTTTAAATCGTTTTTAGGCCTATAAAGTATTTAGTATAGTCTTGTATCTAACCAAAAAGGTTTGGATTGCTGATTAGTAAGAATATTTTACAAGGATACTAACAATGTTATGAAGTGCTTAGGTTGGATGAGTTTATAAATAAACTTAAACCAAACGTTTTTTGTGAAATTTTGACATCTTAAAGCTTGAAAAACCTTTATAAGTCAATTTATTTAAAATAAGAATGTATTTAGGGAATTAAGTCATCCGCAAATGAAAATGAAGACCAACTTAAATTTACAATGCATAACAACTTACTAGACTCGGGCCTCATAAAGGGTAAATGTTGAGGGATCGTCTGGCAGAGGGAAGTACGTGTAACATATGTTGTCCAGCAGAATGAACTCTTCAGTCTTAGGAACAACCACAGAGAATATGGGCTGATCACAAAACTCCTGGAAATAAATACAAACAAGATACGTTTGTGAATTTTTAATATTTAGACATTTAATTAATCATTTTGTAACTAAACCTTAAGATAATTAGTGTTTGTATGTTTTTCTTCGAAAAAACTAATTATTGTTAAACATGAAACAAATTTGTAAACACACAACCTCTCAAGGGTAGATTAGTTGAATTTACACAGTTTATCTGTAAAAAAGGCTTATGGTAGACAAAATAAGCTCAAGATTAGATTACTCTGTTCACATTAGTGACTTATTAATTTTACAAACATAAGTGACGCAGGTTGTTAGTTAATTGTATTACGATTTTTGTCTATAAACTATTTGCTACTATATTTTTAAGACATCTTCAAATTAATATGACTACTAATCTCAAAAGGTTTTTTTTATTTACTTAATTTCTTAATCACTAATCACTAATAAACACGTAACTGAAACTCCTGAAAACTATAATTGTAGCCATTTTTAAAATATTTTAAACATAATGTTTTTGACGTACATTATTTACCGGTTATTATATTTATATGTTAATTTTTATGAGCAGCTAGTTATAAAAATAAACAAATACTCAAGTCGATGTAAACTTTTTTGGCTGGGTATTTTGAAGTGGAATCCAGAAGTTTAATTAACATAGTTTTACTAAAATAAGATCAATCTTGATCATTTGTATCTACTAACTAGGATCAGAAAGATTTTGCTAGGTATGTTTAGAAATTTGTAGCTCCAATCGTAGATGATTGATATTTTGTTGTGTTTACTAACTGTTTGACTAACTATAGAACAGTTACTAAATTGTTTGTTACTAAAGCCGAAAAATATGTAGTGATCTTAATGCATTAAATATGTATTACTAATTATGATAAAAAAGTGTTATTTTCCATAATACTTACTCCCCTCAGAGAATAATCTATAGTTTCTGGCGTATAACACTTTGAAGAGCCGGCTTTGCTTGTAGAAAGACTGATCATTAGAGTTAGGAGCACGGATAGCAATCGTCTCTTGATTTCTGTCATTTTGTATCTACAAATATTCTAAATGTATTAGTTTAGTGATAGTTTGCTCACGAGTTATAAAACAATAGTACTGTAGATAGTAAATCTATATAGCTTTTTACTTTTTTAAAGATTTGTATTCTAAACTTTTCCTAAGATGTTCTATTGAGCTAACTCATGTACTCTTTTTTATGTTGAATATTTCAAAAATGTACAATTTACTAATTATAAAACAAAAGGTTAATTCAACCTAAACATGTGTGAGGCTGTGTGTTAAACTCCAACACTTAGTCATTATTTGTTTACTCTTTGCACGATATTTTCTTCTAAACAATTATTATAGATACGGACTGCTTAAACTGTGACCCACTGTTACTTTTCTGTTCTGTACTGTGTGTGTACTGTGTTCATGATAAACTGTTGAAGATGATTAATATGAACAGGTTAAAATTGACAACAGTTTGTTTTCTTGTTTGTCAGCCTTCAAATATTATACTGCACGTTATGTTAGTTTACATTTCATCTTAATATTTACATTTCACTTATCACTTATCAACACAACACACTTTAACACATCAAACATCAGTTCTATATTGTTGGTGTATATATACTCAGTACTCACTGTTGTTCGTAGTGGTTGTGACCAACACATAACATATACAGTCATCTATTGCTAGTTAAACGTTTGTTTTCCTTATCGTAGGAGGAAAAATGATACCATGTACTACGTTCAGATACACTATCATATTTAATTAATGAAGTCTTAGACACCTTTATATTTAACTCTAGAATTCATTGTCGTGAATCACTCATGGCCCGTGCAGTATTTACAATCGTTATAATCGTTATTTAATCTTTTTAAGAAAAATTATGGTTTAAGTTAAAGTTTTTTTGTACTTTTACTAAAACATGCAAAACCAAGAAAAATATTATTGTTGATTTTCAACATAATATGTTTTTTTATTCATATTTACTTATTCTTAATGTTTTGATATAAACACAAACAAACAGTCACATACAGTCATACACACACACACACTCGCACACACACAGGAACACAAATACTGTCTTATTAATATAGAATAGTTTTTATTTGAGCCGAAATTGTATTCGAACTTACTCCAAAGCATTCTATTTTAATAGTTCTCAAATAACCTTTTTCTGGGGCTAGATTATATTTACTTAAATTTAGATTGTAATTATTCATACAAAATAAAATTCAAACACGAGCTTTATTTGTTTTGTTGCTCATTTATAGTTTTTCAACTTTTTTATTTATCGATTAACTACATCTGGTAAAAAACACTAATAAGATATTTAAAAGCAACGACAGAAAGATAATTTAATATTTTAATGCTTCGTATGAAATAAGCCTTTCTATGTATCCTTCTTTGAAACTATCCTGATTTACTCAATCCGTTTTCTCTTGGGTTCTTTGAGGATCAAACGGTAAACTGAGCGAATCGTAAAAAGAATCAAGTTTATTTTATCAACCTAATCACATACTGACTGTCAAGCTTTATTTTAAATTTGTCTTTTCAAATGAGTTAGGTCGGATTCGCTTATGAGTAAAAAATCCACACTAGTTTAAATACATTTTTATTTTATTCACAATTTATATTTATAATCAATTTATAATTTGCTAATAATGTTAGTTTACAGATTAATAAAAAATAATCAATTAAGACATGGTTTCCTTAGCCCATTTCCAAACCCAAATTTCGTGAGACGTGAAGCCCCTGGCGGTGTATAATGTTGGCGACTTACTTCCTACAGAAACAACCTGAATTTCAATTACTTCACTACCTCCTGGCGTTCCGTTAATGTCACACCCGTCAAGTTGTAATTATTCCTGGAACCGTAAAACCCTCCCTTTTTTCTTTGGGGTTTCGGTTTTTATGATTTGAACGAATCTGAACAATATTTTACCATAGTGGTTATTAAGTTAGACTTATGTCTAGTTTTCATCAGAAATTTAAAGTATCTTTTTTAAATTTCAAAGTGTTTAATATTTATTATAAAAAATATAATTTTGTTTTGAATAATTGCTCCATTTTGAACTGCTTTAAGCTTTCTAGCCTCAGTAATGCAGTCTCCACATGCTCGCCATGTAAGTTGATTGCCAATCCACCTTCACTCTCTTAAATTCCTGGTGTGAAGTGAAGTCAACTCATAGAACAGCCTCAATAGGATCTAAGCCCACTCAAATCATATGATCTTTTCACATTTGGAACTTTGCACGGATATAAAGTTTCTGGTGGACTGAAAGACGACTTTTTAAGATGCATGCAATATTTTTAATAAGTTTAGTTAGGATTGATCCTTTTTAAATCCAACTAGCAATGATACGAGTATAATGAGAGGAGAAAACAATTTAGGTTCTCTCTTTAAAGTACACCTAATAGTAAGTACAAAGCTAAGTAATTAAGCTCTTAATAATATGGTGACATCAATTAAGCAGAATTTTACTACATTATTGTCTGATAACTGAGGCTTTAAACCTTGAGAAAATGCAATGTTTGAGGTATGTTATACAGAAATGAATGTCAGGACTGCAATCAAATGAGGTATGCATATAAAGATAAAAATTACCATTACTCAACATTTATTTCCTATCAGGCATACTGGAAGTGTATTATAATTATGTGCATATATCCAACAACTTTCCATTTGCATTGTTACTCCCCACAATTCTAGCCGGATATGCATTGTGTATTTATTCAGCCAACTTCCGAAACTACAAAGACATCCCCTGAGAAATGGCTCTAGACACATTGTTTAATTATGTAGCTAGTGTTAAAATAGACTCGGTATTTTATTTATGACTTAATCTATTAATACATTGTAACAGTGAACAATGAAATACAGTTAGTAGATGATGATTTCCTTTTGCGACTTTCTAGGATACTTGTGATAGCGATAGTAAGTAATTATTATGAAACTAACGCAGATAACAATTTCCTTCAGAAGTCCATTATTGTTTTGGTACGGTTATAAAGCTGGCTTTCAAATCTGAAGGTTTCTGGTCCAATTTCAAATAATATCAATTCTGGAGCAAGAAGTAATTTTTCATTGAGCTATCAGTTCTACAATTGAATAGGATTATAGTTTATGACATTAGTTAATAAAAATATCAGGGTTTGTGTAATATATTCCAATAACCTGTCTTCTTAACATTTATCTAAAACAGTTGTAAAATGTTATGTTTACATTTTTTTTTCTATGATTATAAAAATTCTGTTTTCTAACACTTAAAAGAATAATTTTTATTACTGAAATATGTTTTAGTTTGTTATTTAAATTAAAAAAAAAATAAAAAAAACATAAACAATGTTAAAAAGGTCATAGATAAACACTAAAGTGTAATATTTGCCTATATATTTTGTAGAGTATATATGTCAATAGCGTTTTATAAGTTTTTTTAGAAGTTGTCCAAGCCGTAAGCGTGTTACACTCTGACGTCAATCCCAAAACGTGAGGCAACCCCAAAAAATGGTATTAAAACGAGCGATTCGCCGGATGTTATTAATTCTCAAAATATATTGGCGAAAGTCATGCTTTAAGTGTTAAGTATGCTTTAAATTTAAGATAAAATGGAACGCGCATATTTTTCTCATCTTGCTATCTTACACCACCTCAATGTAAGGCGTCGTGGTGTCCTTAATAAGGTAAGATAAGACCCTGGCTTCCTCACAGATATCAAAGTGGCTTATGGTAATGAGTAATTGATTTACACTTACTGCTTTCTTAACCTGATGAAAGCATAGCATACGTTGCCTAGCCAAGTGAAAGTTAATGATATAGGTACTAAAATTATTTTAAAAGACTTGCATTCCAACATGTTTATATATATAAATTTATAAATAAGTATGGTGCACTTTACCTGTTCGCCGAGCTCTAATGCAAGGGTTCAGGATCATTGTCATTGGTGGCATACTTATAAAACGATTGAAAATATATTTATGTTAATTTTTTTATTTCTTATTTTTTAGGCTTGTAACGTTTTAATTTTTTGGTAATAGTAGAATTTTAAGTGGGAAGTGACTGGTAAATGCTTCTAAATACGCCTTTTTCTGTGAATTTTACACACACAAATAAAATTGTACAAGAAAATTATAACGATAGAGTCATAAATTTGAATCTAAGGAGCAAGTTACCTTCTTCAGATAAAAAAAATAAAAGTTAACTGAGTTTTTTGAGAGGGTTTAAACGCCTGCAAGGGCTTTTCACGGCGCTGTTCAATGGTACAACATAGCTACTGAAGCCCGAGCTGAGGTAGAGCGCACCCTTAATAGAAGTGGATATGTTTCCAGGATAAATAGTCTCAAGTAGACAAGGATTCGCATCCTTAGATACGATTTAGAATATTCGCAATGACGTGTATAAGGGTGTCCAAAAGTGTTAGATTCACACTTGTAATTTTAAAATATTATTTTACTAATTGCATCAAACTTGTTAAAGGATCACGTGTTGAGCTCATAAATTAAAATGGAGAGCTCCTTATGAATTATGAATATTACCCATTCATGTAAAGAGTAATTACTGAAAGACTTAAAGTAATTCTTTAAGAACCTTATGTCAAAGATGATTGGACTACTGATAATGAGCCTGTATATTTAAAAGGACATGTAAACATAATGGGTTCGGTAAAAGACATGGAATCAAGCATCAAATGCCTTTTGTCACGTGGTGTGCCAGCTTTGTTCATGTATGTTTGTTATATATTACGACAAGATAAAAAATTCATTGGCCATTCAAAAGTGTTATACTGTAATCATTTCGTTACACTTTTTTTGTTAATTTAGTTATACATGTCTTTATTTCCTTCTACGTAATTAAACTCACTAAAATTACAGTAGACATAATACAACTTGAAACCTGTTTCATATTCGGTGAATTAACTCTTTCAGTAGTCGTATAAGTAACTTGTCTAGTGATCTTTAACTGATAGTTAATTATAGCTTTAGAGTAATTTTAGAACATTAACATTCTCTAAATGGCTCCTAGAAACAAAGGCTCATACAATTTATTAATTAAAAAGGCTTTATTTAAGTAATTTGATGTTACATTTAATACAAATGTAGATATGTTTGAAGTCTCTAAAATGATGATTTACATAGAAATTACATATAGTTTTTACATTTATCTTCTATCACTTCACACTCTAACCCCGTTAACTTACAGCTCTTGGCTATTAATTTATTTTAAGATTTTACCCCTGTACAGGACAATAATGTCACCCCTATAACAACTGGCTTACCACAAGCTTCTACTGTTTGCTTTGTTTATTTATTCAGTCAGCTTTGCCCAATGCCATCTCCGGGGAGAGGTCATCAGTACCATTGTTTTATTCACCAACAAAATACCGAGTCCGACCCGAATAAGTAAAGTCATGTATTGCTAATAGTCTGATTAATGTATCATGAAAAGAAATACTTAAAGCAATAAAATGTGTTGGATTGTTTACAGATAAGAATGTAATTAATGTGTTCACTAAAATAGATATGTAAATTGCGAGCCAGAGGTAGTATACGTTTTAAATTATTTTCTATTACTTTTCGATGTTTAAAAATGTATCAATATATACGATTTCTATAGGATTATTGTTCATATGCATTTATACTAAGACTTAAGAGGTATAAAACTTTTAATTGT